TGTGTGTGTGTGTGTGTGTGTGTGTCTGTGTGTGTCACGGGTCATTGTTTTTCTCCCTGAGGTGAGTTAGTGTGTTGCAGTCCGAGCACTGAGGGATGAAAACGATCTGTGAGTGTGGAGAAGAACTGTGTGAATGGACAAACACACACAAACTGATCACACACAATCATCATGAACACATAAATTACAGTCACACACACACAGACAGACACTCACTCACACAGACAGACACACACACACACACAGACAGACACACACTCACACACACACTGATACCAGCAGGAGCTTTGTGCATATTAAAGACTTTTAAGAATTTAGAGGTGATAAAAACTGATCAATGAAAATGAATCACGTCGAGTGAAACACATCTGTAACATGCTAACGCCACGAGAACCAGAGCAGCTGAGAGTTCTGTTGTTTTCCACTTCACAGAATTCATATGAATTAAACTGCAGGATTTCATTTCTCCACTTGAACCAGATTCATCTTTAATTTATCATCGTGTCAGGAAATCACTTCTACAGCTTCTTTAACAAATCAGTAAATCTGATTTCCATTTGTAAGAAGCACTGATCTTTAACTTTCTGTGTCGGTTATTGAAATACTGAAATAAAACAGATGAGGTGAACACGCGTCCGTCAGTTTAGTGACTTGAAGTGTTTGTGTTGAGCCTGAGTCAAACAGCGACACTCGTCTTTGCGTTTCGTTGCTCGACTGTTGTTTCACGTGAATGAGGCAGAAAAACAGAAGCACGGTCGAACCCACGAAACAACAAATCATGGGTCAACCAGATGTTTCAGTAATCTGAGCTTTTCAAAATAAAACGCATCATTACTACTGATGCCGAGCATTTTTACAAAACTGCAAAACAGTCGTTGTTTTACTTCCTTTTTCTGTCGTGAGTTGTGATATGAGGGTCAGGTTATTGTGTGAGTGTGTGTGTGTGTGTGTGTGTGTGTTTAAAGACAGATGGCATGACAGCTCCCAAAAAGTGAAGCAAAATCATCATGATTGCCCCCTGGTGGCTGGCTGCAGTATAAACCCTGCCTCCTCCATGACGGCAGAACTAAATTAAAGGTCATAGTAAATGTTCAAACTGATCTTTATTTACAGTAACGTGTGTGTGTGTGTGACGTTAGCTACATAGCTGCTATCATGGCCGAGCTGTGATCAGTAAAAAAAATAAAAAATAAAATAAAAAAACTCACTCACCCACAGAAACGTTTCACTCGGACTTTAAAGGGAGGGAGCAGTCGTTCAGAAGACTCCCATAATGCTTCAGGAGGTTTCTGTTCCAAATCTATTGCTTTGAATGTGAGAAGGCCGTGGTGACGCCTGATGAGAGAGACGTGTAACTGGAGGGTTGACACACACACACACACACAGACAGACACACAGAGTGAGAGCACACACAGGAGGAGGGTGTGTATAAATACGACAAACAGATCTGAGAGGTCGACGAACCCCCAGAACACACCAAGAACTTTATATCTAACAACAGGCTGAAGTTTCAAATTAAAATGCTTAACAGTATCGACGTTATCTGACAGATAAAGAATGAAGCGACAGACCATAAATAAACATCTTTGTTTAAATTAGCTCTAAGAGATGTACACAGATGTATATTGCAACAATAAACATGAAAACCGTGCGTTTGTGAGACGGCTCGTTAGTTATTTCGATAAATACTGTTGTTAAAAGTTCTTTTTTCCGAGAAACAAACACAAAAAGTTTTACCCAGCAGAGTTTTCTTTGTTTGGTTTTTGTGTCTCTGGTTTCATGTGAAAATATAGAAATCTCTGTTGTCATTCATGTAAAAGTAATACAAAGGTCACTTAAAAATGAGAGAGAGACAAAAAAGTCCAGAAAAAAGTTTGTGTCTTAACCGTAGAGGAAAGAAAACAAATCCGAGGAGGTCCCTGTTTTCAACGTCCAAACTAAAACGCCCCTCCGCTCTGCGTCAGGAGAAGCTGCCGCCGCTAGTCGAGCGGCCCCTGGAAGATGAGTCTGGCGTAGCCCTGCTCGCCAGTCAGCTGTTGGGCACAGAAGGGGCAGGCGGCGTGGAAGGTGTGCGTGCCGTGCGGCAGTGGGATCTGACTCCAGAAGGCCGCCGTCTTCTCAGAGCAAACATGGCCGCAGGGATTGAAGGCGTGAGTGGGAGGGGCAGCGTCTACATAAAACCCCGCCTCGCAGCCCAGCCACAGCGGCACGTACGGCCCCTTCGTTCGGCACATTGGACACTCCCTGTGCCGGCCCTCCCGCCCCTCCCTCTCCATGCGGTGGTTGCCCCAGTTGTGGTAGCCGTGCACGTGGCCGCAGTGGAGGTAGACCCAGGGCTGCTTCTCGTCCGGCGTGTCCTTGCGACGCATCGAGGGGAAGGCCAGCGTGTTGAAGCCCACGGGACACTGAGGGCGGGCCGCGTTGATCTCCTGCCTCAGAGCCTCCAGGTGTTTGAGGGTGGGGGTGCGTGCCAGGCCCTCAGCTGTGCGCCATAGCAGCGTCGCACCGCAGAGGTCGATGAGCGAGCCGTCGACCAGCTCCTGACTCTCAGTGTCCACCTGAAACCAAGAGGAGCACAGAAGGTTAGAGATGAAACTGTGACACATGTAAATACAGCAGATCTGAGATGATGTTGTCAGCACCTGTGGATGGATTGTGTTTTAAATGTATTTATTTATTTATGGGGAAATGATTCATCGATTACTCAAACGTTTGGCTGGTTTTCTATCTTCCGGTTCAATAATTTCACAAATTCTTTTCAGCTCAGAATAATGACGCACGATAAAGTCAAGACTTCGGTTCATTTAGATTATTGTTCTGAATCGAGCTGTGAGGACCAACGTGGGATAGTCTCCACCCCTACAGGACCCGGACCAGAATTATCAGTTCAGAGAAAAGACAGATGCGCAAAACAAGCGCTCCCTGCCTCTCACTGAGCTGTAGTACTCATCTGAGCACAGCAGGTGGCGCTGTAACTCCGGCCTTCCTGTTGTTTCTCAGGCAGTTGAGTGATGGAGGAAGGACGGAACAGCTGGAGGCAAGATGACATGAGTAAACTGAGAGAACAGGAGGGCGGTGCGGGGTCGGGGGGGGTGACACTGGAACATTCATTGAACCACAGAGTTCAGTTTAACAGAATCAGACACTGAGGGAAACTCCAGGTTTAGATAAAGCAGAGGACGACAGTGTGGACGAAGACGGGCTGATGAAAGGTTGACAGACTGAGGGAGGAGCAAGAAGGGACTCGACTCTTTAATAAAATGTTCAGATGAAAAGAGCTGCAGCCGCCAGGGTTTCTGATGAGGTCACTGTGAGTCTCTGGGCTAAATATGAACCATCGGCTGACGTGAAGCTTCTGGAGACATTTTGTGTTTTTTAACCTTCATGCATCCCAGGAAAGTTCACTGAGCACATGTGAGCTCATCCACATCTGCTCAGCTAGAATCGTCTCTCTGCCTTTTAGCCGACAAGCTGCTCGACTGTAAAAAAACGTGGACGACGTGTCTCCTCTTTGTCCTGTTGTAACAAGTAGAGGTAAAATATTCCAGATATGAGTAATATCTCATCTGGATACGATGGAGTAATAACCAGACTCCATTTTAATGAAGTCAGTGCTCACAGTCGATTCACACGCTCTCACCACTGACACTCAGTAATCATTGAATTAAACTACAGTCGCTCATCTATCAGCAAGAAGCACAAAGCTTTTATTAAACACAACAGGAGCTCAGAGATTTTACTCTTATAACATCCACAGCAAGTGTGTGTGTGTGTGTGTGTGTGTGTGTGT